GATAAAATTTTGTGGCTGGGAAATGCACAATCATATAAAAGATATCCAGAAGCTGCTGAAGGAGTAGTCAGTGACAGAATAATATCAGAAAAGGGGCAAGGCTTGTTTTTTTTCTTTTTTCTTTTCTTTTCTTTCTTTCTTTCTTTCTTTCTTTCTTTTTTTTTCTTTCTTTCTTTCTTTCTTTCTTTTTCTTTGTTTCTTCCTTTCCTTTCCTTTTCTTTCTCATTCATATGACATAAATAACATAAAAACATAAAAGTTATTCTGGCAGCATGCTAACATTAAAAAAACAACTACAACCAATATCCAATTATCTCAAAGGTAAAAATAATAAACCCCAATCATGAAAACTACAACAATAGCAGGGTTGGCTTAACTTCCTGTCCCAGACACCTGTGGAAATAGATAGCCAAGTCTTCAAAGCCTTTTTATCTTCCTTGTTGTCACTAAGGCTTTAGGCAGCTAGAGAAATGTCATGATTTATATAGAGATCTAGATGGCTCTCACCCCAATGACATCCAAGAAGATATTAAAGACCTGGCTTTTAAGGTTATCTGTTGTTTTTGAGCTCCTTTTTTGTTTTCTGTACTTTTTTTTTTTAAAAAAAATATTTTTTAATTGTAAGCTGTCCAGAATCATTGGAGTAATGCAATGTACAAATTGTATGTAAGGCAAAGGTTTATCTTTTCCAGTAGTGTCTGACTCTAGGGGAGATTGCTCATCTCCATTTCTTAGTCAAGGAGGCTGACATTGTTGAGGACACTTCTGTGGTCATGTGGCCAGTGTGACTATACCCTGAGGCATACGAAATGCTGTTACCTTCCCACTGACGCAGTACTATTTATCTACTTGCATTTGCATGCTTTTGAATTCTAAGTGGGTAGGAGCTTAGGCAAGTTCACCCCATTGCACAGTGCTCAGGTCTCAAACCTGGGCTGTCAGCTTTCTAGCTGACAAGCTCAGAGTCTTAAGCCACTGAGCCATCGTGCCCCATACAAATTGTATGTATAAACATACATACATACATACATACATACATACATACATAAATACATACACACACACACATATATATATTGAAGGCAAGGCTATAAAATGGCCAGTCTCTGAATTTCAGGAACCTCCTTAGATGACTAGCTCACAGTCTCTCAGCATACCTTGCAACCCTACGGTTAAATTAAAATTAGCTTGGGACACTTGAAACACACAGCAGGATCAAACTGTTTGCTTCTTTAAAAGATATGGGTTATGGAATTATGTGTTGAAAAGCAATGGAGTATTTTATTTATGTGTAACTATCAAACTATTTAAGGGGCAGGCAGCTGCTACACGGGATTAAAATTGGCTGATAGTAGACAAAGGGGAGTCCTATGGAACGTCTGACAGTATGTGTCCTGTAATGCAGTGGTTCTTAACCTTTTTGAACGAATCGCCCCCCTTGAGCCAATGAGGAAGTTGTCATCGCCCCCTCCCCCAACATAACCTCTCAATCACAACATAGGAAATAATTCTTCAATTTATGCAAACACTTGCTTTGTTTTCTTTAAAATTATCATCAGGACATATCAATGCAAATAATTTATTTCCAGTCTTTTCCCCATATCTCAACTGTGTGAAAAATTTTGGTGCCACCGGTCACTTTATTCCCAAACTTCATGATACATGTATTTCATTATTATCTTATCTATTCAAGACACTTAAATGTAATGACCACTGAAAACAAAATTCAATTGCAAGAAAGTGAAATGCCCGAAAAGAAAAACAGTAATATTTAATGATTGAATTACAAGTGAAATTTAAAACGCAAAAAGAAATATAAAAAGGGTAGAGGCTGCTGTGCAACACGCATGAAGATAAGCAATGCACATTCACATATGTATGGTGTTCTGTACTGAAGCTAGCTGGAGGAACATTTAGCGAGCGATCTGATGTTTTGGTACGACAGATATACAGCGATTCACTGTACGAAAAAGTCTCAAAAGTATCTCCAAAACTTCTCGCTCCATCGCTCCTATATCGCCCCCTCTTCATTCCTTTGCCCCCACGTCGCCCCTTTTTGTTCCATAGCCCCCCTGAAAAAATGAAATCGCCCCCTGGGGGGCGATATCGCCCAGGTTAAGAACCACTGCTGTAATGCTTGTGACACATTTCCCTTGGACAGTGTTTCTCCGTTTTGGCAACTTTAAAATGCATGGACTTCAACTCCCAGAACTGAAGTGGCTGAGGAATTCTGGGAGTTGAAGTCCATATATCTTAAAGTTGCCAAGGTTGGGAAACACAGCCCTAGAGCAGGGGTCCCCAACCGTGGCAACTTTAAGATTTGTGGACTTCAACTCCCAGCTATGCTGGCTGGGGAATTCTGGGAGTTGAAGTCCACAGGTCTTAAAATTGCCATGGTTGGGGACCCCTAGCCTAGGGTCTGCATCTTGTGTTTATCTCCCATTGGGCAAATTAGATGCTATTTTACTCCCTCTCGTTGAAAGAAATGGGACTTACAGTGCCAAAACTTCCTTTTAACAATTTCCTTCCTTGAGCTGTCTCCTTTTACAAATTCCATGGAACTGCTTCATCCAAACTTCTTTATCATATAATGGTAGAAACAGCAGAGGGAAAAGCAATAGAGATGATTTGCTTATATCCCAGACAGTGTGCATTTTCTTTCGACTGTTGATGAGGCAAAAACCTAAATACCAAATTCATTTTTCAAAATGATCATGAAGAGCTTAAACACAACAAAAGCATGGGGTACCTCAATGTTGAGAAGCCTACTGAAGCATTATTTGAAAACTTTAATGTGGGCTAGGATGCATATAATAACTGGGGTTTTACATCAACAGTCACACCCATTAAAAACTAACTGTATTACTTTAATTGTATAGAATGTTGTGAATATATAACTTTAGTTGCTCTTCTCCTAAGATTCTGGAAAAGTGGGGGCTTATTAAATTCACTGAATTAAATTCATTGTTTCCTTAATCACACCTTCAATCAGACTGAAGCTAGATGAAAAAACCCAAAAAGAATCTCTTCACAAATATCCTTTCTTCTTGTTCACCCCATAATGAGAGAAAGAATAAACATGAATCATGAAAACACTGAAAATTTAATTTGAATTATTGATTTGACAGTACAGTGTTTGCTACATGAGGGAACCAAGGTACAGTCTTATATTTTGTATACCTGTGCATTTCAGCCAGATAGTATTTTGATTCAGAGATGAGAATCCAAAATACCCTCAGAAAAAAATGCTTTGGTGCATGAGTGCATCTGCAACTGTCAGCAACTCTTGAACCAAACGCATCTTTTCCAGGAATTGCACTGCAGCTGCAGAGAGCGGTTGTACAATCCTAGACATAAATGCAGCTGTTTTAAGTAGCTGTCAGTAGGTGTCAGCTAGACAAAACACCCCATATAGTCTGAAACACTTTTAAATTCAGACCATCATTCTTTCATACTTTTTAACAGACATGAATAGAATTGCAGTCAATTCTATAAATGTACCCTAATTTTCTTCCCTTGTAATTACTATCCGCTGCCTTAGGAAGGAATTGTACTTCCATAAGGTTGTTGAGAATTGTGAAAACACTCTTAAACAGTTTAGCACATAAGCTAAGTTATCCAGAACTGCAGAGACCATTTACTACTCACTAGTGAATCCTGTATAATAAACATGAACCTTTTTTAAAAAATGATTTTATTACTTGTTACAATAAAAAAGAAACTATACACAAAATTATAAAACAAGAAAACAAAATAAAACTCGGAAAAAAGAAACAATAGCCGAGGTGGTGCAGCAGTTAGAGTGCAGTACTGCAGGCCACTTTAGCTGACTGTGTTCAGGTCAGCGGTTCAAATCTCACCGGCTCAAGGTTGACTCAGCCTTCCATTCTTCCGGGGTAGGTAAAATGAGGACCCAGATTGTTGGGGGCAATGTAAATATATATATACATTGCTTACTGGTGTACACCGCTTAGAGAGTGCTTGTACTTAAAGCGGTATATAAGTCTCATAAATAAATACACAGGGCACATGAATTTATGTTCATAAATGGTGGTGACATCTCATTGTAAAATCCATAGCTTAACTATGTTAACAAGAAATTCATTTCTGTGCTGTTAATGATATCAATACTGTAAAGCATTGAGTAGTTTAGGGCCATATGCTTAATCTTCAACCAATGCCAATGAAGTATTTTTGCTAAAAGCAGAGAACAGAGAATCTATTTTCTTTCAGCAGATGACAATATCCACATGACAGAGATATCATTTAAAATGATATGGATCTCTGAGAATATTACATCTTTCAGCTGATACTATATAGAAACAGAAAATTTATGGCAAAAAAGACCTAGTGATCCACTGAGTCTCTCCTTTGAGTTGATTTCTTTTTTTTTCTTTTTAATTTATATATTCTTTTTAATTATTCTTTTTATGTTTTATTTTTATTTAACTTTAATTTATTGTCGGATGATGGACATATGTTTATCCCAAGCATGTTTAAACTCAGTTACTAATGATTGACCAACTACCTCTGCTGGAAGTTGGTTCCAAGCTTCTACTATTCTTTCTATGAATATAAATACATCTGGAATTTTAGTAACACCTATTAGGTATAAGTCACATAGTGCTACTTTTGCCATACTTTTATAAAGTTTAATTTCTTTTGATGAAACTGTACTAACGGTTTGCAAATGTTATTCTTATGAAAAGTGATAAAAATGTTATTGACTTATAAAAAAGTTATTGACACATAAAAACTTCTAAGAAAGTCAAAGGTTCTGTCACTATTCCTTAGATATGGCTTTGTGCTTTTATTATTTGAATATGAAATCAGTAAATATTTCATAGTATCGTTTTGGGAGGGGGCGGGTGCCTTCCGGTCAGCACTGACTCCTGGTGACTGGACAATTCCATGCAGTTTTCTTAGCAAGATTTGGGAACCCTGGCCTTTTTCCAAGGCCTGCGGGGGGGGGGGGAGAGAGGGATGTGCCCAAGGTCATCCGTTTGGCTTTCATCGGACTAGTCTCCCGGTTTCTATCTTGGTGCCTTAGTTACTACTTCCACGATACTAATTAGCCTTTAACTGGATTCCTGCAAATATGGCAAAGTTTGAATCTTTCTCACATTTCTTGCAAAGAATTGCCCTCTTAGAGCAGCAGCAACCACACCAAACTGATTCCCCCCAGGCGTTTGGAGAGTCAAGACTGGATCTTGAACGCCACGCTTTCTGCCACCATTCCGAGTGGCCGTCTCCCTTTTCATCACACAAAGTTCTTTATGTGGTCATCGCGTGCCTGGGCACCTTCGGCCCACTGGCCGCAATAGGTTTCCAAGAGCGCGGGGAGACGGGAGCGGCGAGTCCTCCCCTACAAGCCCTTCAGCCGGCGTCGTCAGGCCAAGTGGAAAAACGCACTGACGTGACCCAAAAGCCGACAAGTCCGCACCTCCTCCTCCCCGGGGTCCCTTTGCTCCGGCAAACTCAATCTCGCCCAGAGCAACGGACCGGAGCGGGAGTCGGAAACGACGTCGCTGCCTCGGCGGAGACGGAGAGCCCGCGGCCGCGAGGAAATGCCGGAAGGCGTCCGAGACCCGCTCAGATGACAGTAAACAAATCTTAATTGGGGAAAGAGGCTGGGACGAATTTTGCACGGCTGCGCCCGCCGCGGCCTCTAAAAGCTTGGCCGTTGCCCAAGCTGAGTTCGGTCGCTAAACGGTCCCCGAGTCGGTTACATAAGCACGCCGCTTGCAAGCGCTGTTTCTCGCCTGCCCGGCCGCGGGGAGGGGGGGGGGAAGGGTGTCAACGAGAGAGGGGAGGAAGCCCGCTCGCCTCCGAGAACCGCAACTAACGGATCTCAGCCAGGGGCGCGCAAAGCGGCGACTGCGGTCCATCCTCTCCCTTCTCGGGTGCCGCCCCGCCCTTCCCCTCCCCGGGATCGTTTCTGCGCAGCGCTCTGCGGCGAAAAGATGAGCCAAGCGGCTCTTCGCCAGCAGCAGCAGGAAGAGGGCGAGAGACTGGGAAGGCCGAGAGGGAGGAGTCGCTGCCAGCGCCATTGATTCAAACGCGCCGCAGCTCCGGGTCCTGGAGCCCTCCAGCTGCAAGGGCGGGCGGTCGCGGCAGCAGACGGGCTCTTTGGAGGCGATTGGGGAGGTGAGCGGAACTCCAGCCCCCGGAGGGCTTGGGCTTGGGGGGGGGGTCGAGGATGAGGTGGGAGGGGGCCGGCGGGGCAGCCGGCTTGCCTCAGTCCCGAGTCGCCGGCTTGTTGGTCACTTTCGTTTTGGGTGTCACTTGCAGCTGCCAATCTGTTAATCTCTCCCCCCCACCACCCGGGCTCCGGTGAGGGATGGGCTGCTTTCATTGGCGGAGAGAAGCAAAGTTTGCTTCCTTTCGCAGAGTCGGTCACCAGCGGGGAGAGGAATGTCGCCCGGGAAAGCGCAAGTGGGGTCCGGGGCGCGCGCGGCGCCGGCCTGAAATGTCAGGGGAAGGCAAGGGACTCCGGAGTGCCCCCTTCCCAGCCTTCTACTTTTCAAACTGTCCAGTTCCAGCAATACCTCGTATTCCTGTTTGGTAGTCTGGAAAAGTTATTTTCTGCAAAAGTAATTTTATGGATACATACTGCTATCGTTGTAATGTAGTTGTCTTGTCTTTGCCGCTTTCATTTTTCTCTTATTTGCTGACATAATTACTATGTCCTCAAAACGCCTCGCGTGCCGTGATGTCGGTAGGCTGTTAAGTTCTCCCTGAAATAAACACCAGGGTGCGTTTGAACTGGCTCAGTTCTTTGATAGAGGAAGAGCTGGCCTGGGGGGCTATTCACGACACACACACACACACACACACACACACACACCCTTCCAAGATAAGGGTTGTACTAGAATAATTAAAATTCGTCAATATGCATGTCTGACAATCGCTGTGTTGTCGTGCGACTGCGCAGCAGAGTTAGACTGAAGAATTGTCAGGCGATGTTGGCGGTCCGTGGTGAAAAGGCACGTGGAGGAAGATGGAGAGAGGTTTGAAGAACCAGATGTGTAGTTGCCCGCCAGTGTTGGCTTCACAAAATGGGTGTGCCTAAAATAAGAAAAGGAGAACTTGGCTTTACTACGTGGGTGTGCCGACAATAAGGGAAAACACCTTCTGCGGGATAGGAGGAGTGCTAGTGCAAAACAGAAGTGGAGGTGGGTTGTGCAACTGAGTACTTGTGCTATTTATATTGTAACTTTGTTGACTTAATTGATAGAGGCCTAGCTGATACTGTATCTTTTACTGAATATATATCTAAGAGCTGGGCTGGCATTTTGGAAAAAAAAACATTTTTGGTCAAACTTTTGAGAAGGTTTTATCTCAGCCTATAAAATGTTTTTTTCTCATTTAGGCCAGGACATTTCAGGAGCATCCTTGGATTCAGATATAACCTTATAACTTTGCTTACTTTTTTTTAAAACAAAGCTTTTATCTATTTTATTTTTCCTGGTGTAGCTACACAGTAATGTAATTCAGTCTTAATTCACATCAGAAGAGAACTTTGGAAGAATCCCTCTTGTTACCAAAGATGCAGAATAGAGCTCTCAATGTTCCCAAAAACAATGTTTGGGAACATTTTTCCTTCCAATTCACTTTTTACAATAAGGTGGGATGTTTTGAGCCTGTCATCAGTCCTTGGCATGTTCTGTAAAAAAACAAGATCAGATGCTGTAAGTTGTAAACATGACATCCTTTAAGTGTATTTATGTCTCCGAAACTTTCTTCAGTGTTGGGCACACATGATAGGTGAACACATTTGTATTGGGATGTTGCCTCCTGCATGGTTTATTATATTACTAATATGTGGTATAGTAGAGTGGTAAACTCTAGTTCAAGACCCAAGTTCAAGACCCCCTTGATTATGGAGATTTACTGGGTAATTTGGGACCAGTTAATTTTTCAATTTAATCCCATACACACTGTCTTATGTACCATAAAGAAAAGGTAGGTAATGTATAAATAAACAAATAGGATGAGGGCTTTTGCTCCTTTTAAGGCTAACCTTCAGTGGAACATAGTATGTGTCAAGTCACCATCCAGGTTGGTTTTAGGTTAGTTGTCATAAGAATTACATTTTTTACAGCTGCAAAATACTGTGTGGGGTAGATATGAATTTTATGTATTTATACATTTATTTGCAAAGCTGATATGCCACTATAATCTGCTGACTGAGAAACAACTAAAACATTCATAATAATAAAAAGCAACCCATTCTCCAAACCAGTTTTGAGACAACTGCAATAAACCAGTCTTCCTGGCTTGATGGAAGAACAAGTTTTTCACCAGCTTCCAGAAGGCAAAAACAGGAAAGGTGTTTTTATGTGGTCCCCAAAGGCAACAGTCTCTGAGGAGACATCTAGTGAGCCTGCCTTGTTACATGTTATCAGGCAGACAGATATTACATTGAAAAGGTAATTTCATAACTGCTAATTGTTCTGAACCATGAAGGGCTTTAAAGGTGACAACCAACGCCTTGAATTCCACCCCAAAGCAACTGGCATCCAGTGCAGTTCTCCAAATAAAAGTGTTACATGGGTGCATCAAAGGGTACCCATCATTTCCTGATCTGAGGCATTCTGGACCAGATTTCTAATGGCCAAACCCCAGAATTTGCAGGTGGTCCTGCATCTAAGTACTAACCTTGGACAGCCCTACTTCTGAGATCACCCAAGCTAAACTGGGTATTGTCCTACTGGGGCAAATACGTAATTAATAGTAATGTGACAGAGAGCCAGCTTGTGGTGTAGTTAAGGCATCAGGCTAAAAACCGTGATATCGTGAACTTTATTCCTGCTTTAGGAGCCTTGGTGGCACAGTGGTTAGAATACAATATTGCAGGGAAACTCTACCCACAGACTGGAGTTCAATTCTGATGGGACTAGAGATTGACTCATCCTTCATCCTTCTGAGGTTGGTAAAATGAGGGCCAAGACTGTTGGGGATAATATGCTGACATTGTAAACCACTCAGAGAATGCTGTAAAAGCACTATGGAGCGGTATATACTGTAAGTCTGAAGGCTATTGCTGTTGCTGTTCAGGCACGAAGCCAACTTGGTGATCTGGGGCAAGTTACTTTTTCTCAGCCCTAGGAAGGATGCAATGGCAAACCACTTCTGAAATCTTGCCAAGAAAATTGCAAGGACTTGTTCATAGTATCTGAGAATCTGACACGACTGAATGGAAGGAAAGAAAAAAAGTAATATGATGTACTAATCCCTGCAGCCAAAAGAAAAACACTGAAAAAGCAACAATAAGTTTCTGCAGGTCATCAGAAATCAGAAACATTGGCCCAGCACTGTTTTTTCACCTGAGTTGCAGCTTAAGAAGTTAAACCTGTTCTGTGTTCTAATAATCAAGGTGATAAAGGGTTTCAAGATGAGAGATTTATTAGAAATATTAACTCTATTATGCATCATTTTTTAAACAGCAACTCTTATTGTATTCAGCGGCACTTATTTCCAGCTGACAGTGCATAAGATTGTAGCCCAGGGGTGTCAAACTACCGGCCTGTGGGCTGGATGCATCATGCTGAAACCCCCCCCTCCCCCATTGCCGGCAATGGGAAAAAAAGTTGCGATACATGGCGACATGTCACATGACGTTGAGAGTTTGACACCTCTGTTGTAGCCTAATATTACTCTGCACAAGATAAAATTATTTAACACCCAATTTTAAGAACCTTAAACTTCTTAAATTTAGTTCTTTGCTCTTTTACATTGGTTTTGCCTCCCTCTCTATCCCCTGTTGACCCGACTCCTTTGTAAATATTATTGCAACATTTTTGGTACTTTGAAATGCAGTATTACATTTCATTGGAATTTACAATAGAACTAGAAGTTTACTGAAACATATACTTTGTTGGTTTGTCTTCTTTTATTAAGGGATTAATAAATATCTCTAAGGGGAAAGAGATATAGCATGCATCTATCACATTAGTATAACTTTCTGGCTTTGTCTTCACATGCATTGATTATTAATCCATCAGGACTCTGGATTGGTCTTGATTTTGGTTCAAAAGAGTGAACTTGCAAAAGAGCTTCTCTCTTGGGTATAATTAAAGCTGGGCACAAAATGCTTTTCACATTGTAGACATGTGTTGTTGGCACAGTTTTGCAGGGAATCCTGCCCACGTGATTTAACTGACTGTTGTTGGTATTCTCTGTATGCCAGGGGTAAACATTTGTTATTTTCAGAAAGGGAAAAGCTTCTGTGAGAAAGGCTGGGAACAAGATTGTATTTGATTGCCTAAAGGAATAAGAGCGGGTGGAACAAACTGTTTGTCACTGGCAAACTCCAAACCATGTATGCCAAATCTTCTTTGTTCTTTCTTTGCTTTCATGCCATGTGAAAACAAACAGCCTTTTTATAGCCATTAATTATGAGAACAGATGCCCTTCATTTTTCACAAACTTCTTGGTAACCTGAATTTATTTATGTAATTAAAGAAAGAAGATATGTATAAACCGAGGGACCAGGGCTACATTTTCTCCTGAAAAACTTTGGTTGTAGTCAAGAATTCCTTCAAATAGGCTACAGGGCGATCTGCAAGTGTTACAAAATGGAACAATTAATAAATACCA